TGTCGTGTTAGTCCCAAATTGAACACAAGGTTCAGAAAGCATTTTAGCCTGTATTTTTAGCTTAGCATAGAGCTCTGGGTCTGGGAGACAAATTTCAAAATAGTTTGTTGCCTAAAAATATACTTCCTGAAATGAACTTGAGGCCTGAGAGGGATGAATGGGTTTGGTTTTTTTCTTCTTCTTCTTCTTCTTCTATATTTAATGTTACCACAAGAAAGCAAATCTTAAATTTATGTATGTTTGTATTTTTAGAGACCCAGGAAACAGGTGCTATGCCCAAGTGATGAAGAGGGTTTCGTGGCAAAGTGTGGATGACAGAAATCTGAAATTCACGGGACAGGGAGAGACGGGGTGGGTGATGAAGTCGTTCCTTTGGCTTTAGGCAGGAGCATGCTTGACACAGGGAGGAGATGGGGACGCTCTCCTCAGGCTTTTCCAAGGGCGATTCCTGGGAGAAACGTACCTCCCAGCTTCCTAATGGCCAGTGACTGTTATGGTGCTACAGGTGGTCTAGGCACCTAATCTTTCTTAGTCCAGTTGGTAAGTGTCTCTGAGTTCATGTTTGTTGACCAAATGCCTAGTAGCCTTGTCTTTATTTTTTATTTTTTTTCATGTTATTTATTTTTGAGAGACAGAGAGAAAGAGGGAGGGAGAACAAGTGGGGAAGGGGCAGAGAGAGAGGGAGACACAGAATCTGAAGCAGGCTCCAAGCTCCAGGCTCTCAGCACAGAGCCGGATGTGGGGCTCGAACTCACAAACTGTGAGATCATGACCTGAGCTGAAGTCAGACGCTTAACCGACTGAGCCACCCAGGCGCCCTCCCCCCGCAACCCGCAGTAGCCTTGTTTTACTTCTCTCGACTCTCAAACTCATCCATTGAACTTCCACTTTTGCCAGTAGAAATGGATCTCATGCAGGAAAAATAAGGGGAAGGTAGTATTCTTTGCAAGACACATGCTGCATGCCTGTTAACATGCAGCATGTGTCTTGCAAAGAACAGTCTGTCTTCAATATGTTATTGATGACTGTGAATGAATATTGCATGTATAATCACACCCGCCACCTCCCAATCTGAAGGAAGAAGTTATGTATCCTTTCCCACTTGATACAAAGAGCCAAACGTGAACTCCTTATAGTTAGTCCTTTGTGTATTCATTCTTCACGTAGTCATCTGACAAGTACTTTGGATACCTTCTCTGTAGCAGGTCGTCTTCTTGGCACTAGAGATACAGTGTGTCAACAGGGCAGATGAAAGCTCACGGAGCTTGCATCTTGGTGGATAGATTGTAAGCAAGTAAGTGACTGAGATAGTTGTGCAGGAGATACAACAGAATTCTGTGGTAGTTACTTGTGGGTTGCTTTAGGATGAAGAGGTCACATTAACTGGAGACCAGGAAGGTGCCAAAAAGCCAGACAAAGGGAATAGCAAGTGAAAGGCTCTGGGGAGGAAGGAACTTGGCTTCTTCCGGGGAAGGCCGGAAGGAGCTGGTGGGGGTGTGGCAGTGGATAAAGTCAGAGACGTAGCAGGTGGTAGATTCTCGAGGTAGAACTCACCTTTCACTCACCTGCGGGACTCCGGCTCCTGGAGCCTTGCCAATTTGGGGGATTCTATCTCAGAGACAGTCAGTGTTGGTTGATTAACTGATTTCCTTCAAGGCAATGGGGAGAAGTTAGAACCAGTCTCTGGCCAAGAACGCCCTTGTAGCTTTTCCCATGCAGGTGAGGAGACTGACGGCAGTGTCCTGCCTCACCTACAGTGTCTCCTCTGAGTTGGCCAACACGCTTTTGTACCGCACAACTCTGCTCCATTGTGACCTCTCTCTGCCCATCTAAGTGGTGGCCCTCGTTAGGATCCTGTATCTTCTGTGTTTCTATTTTGGGTTACCCTACCCTCATTTGTTTCCTTGTCTGTCTACTCAGCTAAATGATGGTTTCCTTAAGGTAGTGTTCTCTGTGCTTCCAGCACCCAGAACTATGCAGTAGACCGATCAGCTCGCTGTTTCTGGATGGCATGATTGTTTGTAGATAGAGTGCCTTAGGTAACTTACCACTGACAAAATCAAGAAGTTACTCAGACGTCCCCCCGCCCTGGCCACCACCACCCTGAAGTGGCTTTCATTACGAATCGCCTGTGTGAAGGAAATTCTGATCTGACAAAAAGGCATTATTTTATTTCGTTCGAAATTGCAACACATCATCAGGGGTTCGCTGGCAGGCTGCTGCCTAGCAGTTAGATACTCACTTCATGTGTCCTGCTTTTCCCTCCCCAGTTAACAATGGCATGATGGTCACCGACAACAATGGTATCATCAAGTTTCCGCAATTGTGCAAATTTTGTGATGTGAGATCTTCCACCTGTGACAGCCAGAAATCCTGCCTGAGCAACTGCAGCATCACGTCTATCTGCGAGAGGCCACACGAAGTCTGTCTGGCCGTCTGGTAAGGTGGCCTCTAAAAATCTGCCTTTTCTCTCTTTTCTAAGTGATGCGCGCTGCCGTGCGTAAAGTCAGGGTGTCCCCTGGCCCCCTGACTTGTCCCTTTCCCTCAGGCAGCCTCTCTTCCGGAGATATTCTGTATGTTTTCAGATACACACACACCCCTGTGGCTCTGTTTACATGTGGGTGTGACAGTGTATAAGATGGCCTTAAATATTTACAGTAAGTCTGGGACCCCTTCCTTGTATGAAGGAGAGACATTTGCCACTTGTCGTTTTAACTGACAACCTCCCGCTCTGTACCCCAGAGTGATACCAGGAGCTTTGTTTCTCTGAGGCAATGTCAGTCTTGTTTTATGGGAGGAGAGGGGATGAAAGGTGGCTGTGTAAAGAGGAAAGACCTTCTCAAAAACAGGGAAGTTCTTAGGAGAACCAGAAAAACAGCCCATTCATTAGTCAGAAGTCCTGGCCATGTTACTCACAGCACCACTGGGCTACATACTCCATCTTGCTCTGGGATCAGAACTGCTTGTTTCTTAGATCACATTCCCTTCATATTCTCTCTCTCTCTCTCTTTCTCTCTCTCTCATTCCCCCTTCAACACATGCACACACACACACACACACACACACACACACACACACGGTGCTCATAAATCCTTTGATTCATTCATAGTTTGGGATTGGGAGTAAGAGCCAGAGATAAAAGGAAAATCGAGATTAAAAGAGTCCTCTTTTATAAAATGTATAAATTCATTAATGAAATGCAGCATTTGCAGACTTACTCTGATGTTTTAAATTTGTCAGCCAATTTTTTCTTAAGTAACCTATGCGTTTCCTAGCCAGTTGGCAAATGAGAATATCTTATCTATCTATCTATCTATCTATCTATCTATCTATCTATCTATCTATCTATTTTCTTAGTTTTTTTTAACATTTATTTATTTTTGAGAGAGCGAAACAGAGCACGAGTGGGGGAGGGGCAGAGAGCAGTGGGGGACACAGAATCCAAAGCAGGCTCCAGGCCCTGAGCCGTCAGCACAGAGCCCGACGCGGGGCTCGCACTCACAGACCGTGTGAGATCATGACCTGAGCCGAAGCTGGCCGCTTAACCGACTGAGCCACCCCGGCGAATGAGAAGATAAACCCAAATGTCTCCCTGCACCGCCCCCCACCACCCACCCCACCGCCTTTTGGAGAAAAAGTCTTTTGAGACTTTCTCCAGACCACATACAGTTAGCCTTGATGATAGATCTGAAAAGCTTGCAAATTTCGATACATACCAGGGGATGAACGAGTTTCTTAAGAACTCCAAGAATGTTAACAGCCAGTAGCTGTCGTGACGGCTTGCTCTACCTGCCAACCTCATCAGGTCCAGTTCTGAGCACCGTCTTTGCGAAAGGGGTTTTGACAAAGATCGTGCTCAGAGGAAGAGGGG